CTGGCGGTGCTCAGGGGACCCTATGGGATGCTGGGAATCGAACCCAGGTCAGCCGCGTGCAAGGTAAACACCCTACCTGCTGTGCTATCACTCCAGCCTCTCTCCACTCTTGAGAGCAAGTTTTTAGAAATTTGGGGGTGAGGGTGAGGGTAAGGCGATATCACAAAGGGATCGATCGCTGGCCCTGAGGGGGCACACCTTGGAGGGGTTCAGGGGTCCGAGCAGTGCTGGGGATGCAACCAGGGCCTCTAGGCCACAGAGCTCATGTGCCAGCCCCCACCCTCCACTCCTTTTCAGCTCTCCTGGATTGTGCAGGCTTTGCCTCCTCAAAATACTGCCCCAGTTCCTTTCCTCCTGGGGGTTCTGAGGGCCAGTAACACTTGGCCTGCGTTTTTGGCCCAGACTAGATCTCAGATATGTTTTCGTGCACACTGGTTTTCCGGGCTGTGGCTTGGAGACCTTCACAAGGTTAGTGGGAACGGCTTAGGAGATACGCCTGCTCTGACGCTCCAGGAACCCAGCAGGCAGACGGCCCCAGGCACAGAACTGTCCATCTGCTGGCGCTTTCCTATTTCCATGAAGATCCAGGCCCTTCCCCCACTGTCGTCTATTATTAACAGGTCCAGACACCTGATCTGGGTGGCCTTGGCAGCAGCAGGAAGCAGCGACTGCACAGAGCTTAGCCCAGGGGATCAACTCCAGGAAAAGACCCAGAAGTCTAACATGAAATCAAGGGGCAGATGGTGACTGCGCGCACGTGTGTGTGTGTGTGTGTGTGTGTGTGTGTGTGTGTGTGTTGCAGACACTAAGCACTGTACTAGCTGCCCGCAGGCAGGCCCCCTCCACCACCCTTCCCATGTCACCCCCAAGGGTCAGTACAACAGAGGCCCAAGCCACCCATCCAAAGCACTCTAACTTCTGGTATACACCCCATATTGGTGGTCAAAGGACACTGAAAACATTAAAATGCTATTTGAAAAAGCATCAATCGGAGACTACCAGTAGCATAGAAAGGACCTATATATGCCTTTAAGGTGCCAGAAAAGGGGCTGGAGAAACAGCACAGCAGCTAAGGTGATTGTCTTGCATGCCACTGAAGCATGAGACCCCGGCTCTGTATGAGGTCCTCTGCACATTGTCAGGAGTGACCCCAGAACATCAGCAACATGTCATTTCTCCACAGAAACAGTGCCGAAAAGCCTAAGACAGGGAGCACAGCAGGTGCTTGCCTTGCATGTGGCTGGCTTGGGTTCTAGTCCTAGCTTTATATATTCTCCTCCACATCCCACCAGGAGTGATTCCTGAGCACCTGAGTGTTTCAAAAACAAAACAATAATAGATCTGTATAGACTGTGCCCAAGTTTTTATAGATTTTGTAATCTTATTTAAATAATATTATTCAATATTACATTAATAACTTAATCTTATATACAAATATATTCGGTAACCTCACTAAAGGTAAAGGCTCTCCCGTTGATCGTGGATTTGCTCGAGCGGGCCCAGTAACGTCTCCATTGGAGACTTTGTTGTTACTGTGTCTGGCATATCGAATACTCTCGGTAGCTTGCCAGGCTCTCCGAGAGGGGCGGAGGAATCGAACTCGGGTTGGCCATGTTGGGCTGGAGCGATAGCACAGCGGGTAGGGCGTTTGCCTTGCATGCAGCCAACCTCACTAAATTCAATAAATTCTGTTTTGTACATTAAAAAAACATGTAGGGGCTGGAGTGATAGCACAGCGGGTAGGTTATTTGCCTTGTATGCGGCCCGACCCGGGTTCAATTCCTAGCATCCCATATGGTCCGAGCATGGCCAGGAGTAATTCCTGAGTGCAGGAACTAGAAGTAACCCCTGTGCATCGCTGGGTGTGACCCAAAAAGCAAAAAAAAAAAAAAAGTATATCATTATGTCATCAGCAAATTTTTTTCCTTTATAATCATCTTACATGGGCTGGAGCAATAACACATCGGGTAGGGCATTTGCCTTGTACTCGGCCAACCCGGGTTCGATTCCTCCCTCCCTCTTGGAGAGCTCGGCAAGCTACCGAGAGTATCTCGCCCGCATGGCAAAGCCTGGCAAGTTGCCCGCGACATATTCAATATGCCAAACACAGTAACAAGGTCTCACAATGGAGACGTACTGGGCCCGCTCGAGCAAAGCAAATCCATGAACAACGGGAGGGCAGTGACAGTGATTGAGTCTTACTGCAGGGATTTTTTGGTACTTTTTACCAGATTTTGGAAGTGCCCTTTTGTTCCTGAACTCTCCAATCCCCCAGGGTTTGTGTTTAACTTTCAATCGGTACTGGAATTTATCATTCCCCATCCCCCATTCAGACGATTTATTAGATGAGTTGCATCAATTACTATCAAGCATTGACTTAGTCTTCAATTTTTGCAGCAAGCCCAAATTATTCATTTTTAATTGTTCATTGTTGACACTTCAGAGGAACTCAGGGCTCGCTCCTGGCTCAGGGAAGACTAAAATATGAGGAATTATTGCTTTTCCCATTTGATTGTATACTTTTGGGTCTAGTGGTTTACTCTATGGTTACTTGTTTTTTAGGATACCTTTTGTGACTGGGCCATCTATGATGGTCCCCTGGTGCTCAGGGGATCATGTGCAGTGCTGGGTATTAAACTGGGATTGGCTGCAAGCCAAAATAAATGATTTAACCCGTAACCTCTCTGGTTCATCTTTTGTGATCTTTGCAAAGTTTGTGTTCAAGTCCATTTGAGCTATCTTCTCTCCAGCCCTGATTTTTTTTTTTTTTTTTTGCTTTTTGGGTCACACACGCTGATGCTCAGGGGTTACTCCTGGCTCTGCACTCAGGAATTACCCCTAGTGGTGCTCAGGGGACCATATGGGATACTGGGAATCGAACCCGGGTCAGCTGCGTGCAAGGCAAGCGTTCTACCAGCTGTGCTATGGTTCCAGCCCCTCCAGCCCTAATTCTTAATTTATTTTTGGTTTTGGGCCACACCTAGTGGTGCTCCGGGCTCAGTGTTGGCTCTGCACTCAGGGATCACTCTTGGTGTTGACCTCCATGGTGGGGGGTACCATGTAAGGTATTGGGGAACAAATGTGGGTCATATGTGCAAGGAAGGCACCACACCAGCTACAATATTGCTCTGACCCCCAGCCCTAATTTTAAGTTCTTTAAAAATTTCATTTCCTTTGTTTTTTGGGCCATACCTGGTGGTGCTCAGGGCTTACTCTTGGCTCTGCACTTAGGGACCACTCCTGGTGGGCTCAGGAGACCAGGTGGGGTGCCAAAGATCAAGCCCACATAGGCCATTTGCAAGGCAAACGCCTTACCTGCTTGTACTATTGCTCTGACCTCAATCCTGACTTTTAAAAAATGTGCATTTTTTTCTTTCACTGCCCCTCATTTTTTTTTTTTTGAGGGGAAGGGTGTTTGTTATTCCCAAGTGATTTTTACCAGCGGGTGTAGCCCCCAAACAAAACAAAAAGGCTGGAGGCAGAGGTTGGCCATATCCCCTGGGACCAGACCTAGAAACAATAATTCAGGGAATGTGCTCCAAGGGCAGAGCCCTAAAAGGAAATGACTATGCAAGCTAGTGAGAAATGTTTCCAGAACCATCTATTCGCTGACAAGTCTCTCCTGTACCACAGCACCGCAGCCTGGGAGGACATACACCCACCTCCCAAGGGTTCCCCATCTCCACTTTAAAAGAGAACTTAAAAAATAAGAACTTAATTTTAGAAAAACAAGCATATTTTATATTTATTTTATGAGAGGGGTGGCACACAAAACGAGAGGGAGGAGTATCTTTATACACGCAGAACAGCAGCATCAACCCCAAGGAATACCCACTCTTCTCATCCCCTCCCCCAATACGGATGTAGGGTCCGAGGGAAGCTGAGAAGAGTGAACGAGAATTAAGACATTGTTGGCAGGGGAACATGGCCAATGCACCCAAAGATGGAGAGAGAACGCGCCAGGGAGCAAGGTCCTGGGCGGCAGTTTTCCCCAGCAGAAGGGGAATGAAAACCTTTGGCTGGGCAGGAATGGTGGGCATACAGCAAGGGCCCTTGCCGAATTCTCTGGAGATGGACAAGGGCCTGGAAGCAGTCCAGTTGGCCGGCCGCTCTGAACCATGTGCTCTGCCTTTTCCGGGCTGGGGACGATGGAGAGCTGGCTCCTGTCTCCTCTGCGTTTAAAAGGCAGGAGTCAGGCGTGTTCTGCATTCCTGACACCCAGCTCACTGACTCCGCTTTTGGCTGGAAAGAGGCAGAACCAGTGAGGCTGGCTCCCTCTGCAGAAGTCGGCGTGGAAGAGCCCTTGTGTTGACGAAGCTGCCCCTGCGAAGGTTTCTGTGAGCCCACCCTCATTTTGAGAAGACACCTCTGGAGTGTGTGAGAGGGAGACAAAAACCATTTCGTCTCCCTCTAGAGGTGGATTTGGAGAAGGCCGGTAAGAAAGGGGGCCAGGGAGTGGTGGGGGGAGGAAGGGAGGAGAAAGAGAAACGGTTTACAGCAGGAGGGCAGGGGGAAAGCAAGGCAGTTTACTCTGGGTTTACAGAGCCAAGTCTCCAGGCTGTGGCATCACCTGAAGCTCCAAGAGAAGGAGAAAATCTGACACAATATGAACAAGCGAAAAAGATCTTAGTGGCAACCCTGTAATTCTCAGAGACCAAAATGGAATGTGTGTCTGTCTCCCCCATCAACCCCCACCCCCCAAGGCGGTAAACAAGCAGAGTTCAGCCCTCTTACAGAGTTCTGGATAACATGTACTCATTCCACCAACACTGCAAGTACAATCATGAAGGCAGATGGAGCTGAGGAGGTGCACAATTCACCCGACAGCCAAGTGCAGGCTTGGGGCCAGCTGCTTCGCCCCGGGCCTGCCCCTTGGGGGCCACTCAGCCCCGAGTTCTGAGGATGTGAAACGAAGCCAAGAGGCCCACTGCCTCTCTACCCCCAACGCAATACCCCTCTGGGGCAGCCCGCTCAATCGAGATGGCGGAACTTTAGCAGAGGACAGGGAAGGGAAAAGCACGAAGATCTGGAAACGCTAGCAGCTCAAGCCGGAAACGACACGAAGGGGTAGGAGAGTGGGGGAGAGAAGGGGCTAAGTGGGGGTGCTGGGGTGTGCGTGCCTTTCTGTACCTTTCCCCACCTCCCGGTCTTCACAACAGTTCATGCAGCTCTTGGCCTACTGGAGGAGATGGATGTAATGCCCAGACCAACTTTTTATTGAGCTTATGCAGCTAACAGACTTGTAAACAGTGCCAACTGACCAAGTTTGGCTGAGGGCCCACCACAGAGACCGCTCTGAGATCAAAACCAAAGACCAGGGTAAACAAACACTGAGAGAGGATGAAGAGACACGTCTTGAGTCTTCCAGGAAGGCAGAAGAACGAACTGGTCCATGGCTTGGTCGCAGGCCCTCAGCAGGAGAGAGTGCCACGCTGCCCGCCTCCCTCCCAGGGCCGGGTGAGGAGAGGATCTTCTGGGGTGTGCTGCAAATACAGCATCTGCTGGTGTTGACACCCTCCTGCGGCCGGGCTGGGAGCCCCTTTCCTGGGAGGAGCGGAGAGCGCCCAGGTCCCGACGCCTCGGCCAGTACCTGGAGGCCTGGGGCCATTCAGCACTGAGGTGCTCAAGAGCAGGTCAGTCGTCGTAAAACCTGAGCTGTTTTCCTCGCAGCTTCCCATCGTCCCTCCCTCTCCCCGCTTGGGGGGAGCAGTGGGAGGGTCACTGGGGGGGCAGGGGGATCCCACGGGGATCTGTGACCTGGCCTTCCTGCAGGTTCTTCACCAGTTGTGCCAGCCAGCGTTTGGTGGTGGTGTCATCTTTTAGCACCTGGGCGAAGGTTGTGTCCTTCAGCTGGTCGGGGAGGCACTGGCGGAGCGCTTCACGGGCCCTGCATCAGAACGAAGCGACCAACAGGGAGACCAACAAAGAAACACACATTTGGGGGACAGGAAGCACCCCCTTTGTTCTCTCCCCGCCACCTCCTTCCCTCCGTCTGTCTCTCCCTCCATCTGTCTCTCACCGATGGTCTGTCCTAGTTTAGGGTACTATTTCACGGCATGTACAAATCAACAGTTATTAAGAATTTTTTGGGGGGGGCTGGAGTGGTAGGGCGTTTGTCTTGTACACGGTTGACCCAGGTTCAATCCCCAGCACCTCAATGGTCCCACCAACTCATCAGGAGTGAGCCCTGAGCCTACAAGATGAACACCCCACCCCGTACTATTGCTCCAAACTGCCCCTGCCCCTCATTCTTTAAAGCTTATATTCCGTTCAGATTCAGATGTCCAGGATCTGTATCTGCAATCATTTACAGAATGATATCCCAACGTAGAATTTCTTGACAAAGCAAAATAGACTAAAACAATGCAGTTCACTTTTATGCAAACTGCTTTCTGACTCACTGCAACTGCGAGTCAGAAATAGGTAACAGGTTATAGTAAATCAAACCCCTTTCTCCTTCTCCCTCTTTTGGTTTCTGGGCCACACCTGGCAATGCTCAGGGGTGACTCCTGGCTCTGTCTCAGGGAGTACTCTGGTGTGTGCTGAGGGCCCTACGGGATGTCAGGAATCGAATCTGGGTTGGCTGCATGCAAGGCAAGCACCCCATCGATGGCAGCGTCTCTCTCCTTTCTAAAGCCAGTACATTGAAAGGGAGAGTAACTCATAATAAGGCTAATTAAGTTATTTCAATTCTAAACTAGTGCAAATTTGTCTTTCCAAAAACCACCCCAGTTTTGTAGTTAAAACCCTTAGTAAGAGGAGAGCAGGGGGCTGTAGTGATAGGTAGGGGCTGTAGTGATAGGCAGGTAGGGCCTTTGCCTTGCATGCAATACAACCCAACCCAGGTTCAATTCCCAGCATCCCATATGGTCCCCCAGCACCACCAGGAGTAATTCCTGAGTACAGAGCAACGAGTAACCCCTGAGCATAGCCGGGTGTGACAAGAAAAAAAAAAAGGCAGAAAAAAACAAAACTATGGGACTGGAGAACTAATACAAGGAAAAGGTGCTTGCTTTGGAGGGTTTAGTTTAATCCCCGGCACCACAAGGCCCGAGCACAAAAGGGTCAGTCCTGAACAGAGCCAGGAATAACCCCTGAGCGCCACCTGGTATGGCCACCGCCCTCCACCCATTCTCAAAAACTATGATGGCAGCATTATTAAATGATAAGCCTTTAAATTTTCTTAAACGATGACCAACAGAAAGTTGTATCTCAAAAAAGTAGTATTAACTATAAATAAGGATGTTCTAAAAGTATGACTTTTATAATTTCGACTCAAGTCACTATATAAGCAGAACTGCAAATAAACATTTTCAAACATGACTGAAAATAAAGACCTCTGAAGAACAGGATTTAGAAAAAAAAGAAAAAAAAAAGGTCGAAGAAACACCTAGGGCATGAATAACCAATGGCAAGAAGCTAAATCCACATTAAAGCCAGTTATCCCTGTTCCCAGGAACACAGAAATTACACCATTATGTGGTTTAGCAGAATCTGAGCAAGTGGCTTTCAGCATGAATTAATGGATTTCCAAAGTAAAAGGTCAAATGTTTCTAAAATGCACTATATCTATAATGAAGGATTTTTGGTCAAAAAAATTATGAACAAAGTTAGATAAAATAATTAGCTCAAGGACTTTACAGGAATCAAAGAGAGAACTGGAAATATAATCCAAGAACCCTTTGGGCATTATTCCTTTCTAAGAGATCCTTGAAAAGCCATTTCTCCTTCTGAGCTATTGAGTATAAAAAGTTCAAACCATACAAGTAATAAATCATACAGCTTCCTGCAGAACTGTCCGGACTCTTGAGAGGAAGAGACAGTTTGAGTGAGATCATAAAACTTTGGTAGTTTTTTAAATCCAGCACTGAAGATTTTATAAGGAATTAAGCAAGTTCTGTCTGAGACAAATGAAATACTGGTCTACCCTTTCCCTGTCCTAAGGCTGTAAGAGCACTGCCATGAGATGGATGGGCAACCAGTTCCCAAAAACCCATAAATCCTGTAAATGTTTACCTGGGATTATCTGAGAGTCGAAGGTAACATCTCACCACATGCTTCAGCAGACGGGCAGAGGGCTCTTTGGATAGCTGCAGGACCATTTTACCCTATGTCCCCCAGAGGGTGGGGTAGGAAAAAACCAAAACAACACACAAAATAATCCTAGTCAACCTCAGGCAGAGATCAGGAATCACAAGAATCACTGCTCAAGGTTTCTGGTCATAAGGCTACAGCTGTTTGGGGCGACTACAAGATGGAACCACGGATAAGAGAACACTTACCAAGATCATGGCAACGTGAGAGAAACGCTCATACGTTTGACATATATAAGCTAAGCCAGTGTCATCAAGCAGGATTTTCTGAAGGATGAACGTGGCAACCTGGAGTGAAACAAAATGAAAGCAGGTGTTTTCATTTTGGGGCCACCCCCGCAGTGCTCAGGGCACAACGGCTCTGTGCTCAGGTATCACTTCTAGTGGAGCTTGCTGGGCACGATATGGGGTGCCTGGGCTCGATACCAGGTCAGTGGACTGGAGGGACAGTACAGTAGGGAAGGCACTGGCCTTGTATGTAACCCCTGTGCATAGCCGGGTGTGACCCAAAAAGTAAAATAAATAATAACACCCAAAACAAACCCGGGTCAGCTGAGGGCAAGGCAAATGCCATATCCATTGTACTATGGCTTTGGTCCCCCTAGAGGATCTTTTTGGTTTTTGGGCACACCTGGTGGTGCTTAGAGCTTATTCGGGGCTCTGCACTCAGGAATTGCTCCGGGCAGTGTTTGGGAGACCATATGGCATGCGGGATATCAAATTCAGTTGGCCACATGCAAGGCAAATGTCCTACTGGCTGAACTATCTCTCCAGCTACTCACTAGAGTCTGCCACTCCCACCAAGTTTTTCTTCTTTTTGTTTTTGGGCCACACCCAGTGATGCTCAGTTGGGGGACCACATAGGATGCCAGGGACTGAAGCCAGGTCGGCTGCATACAAGACAAACACTCTACCTGCTGTACTATCACTCCAGCCCTTTATATGTAGGATCTTTTTTAATTTTGGTGCTCAGGCCCAGTAATGAAGGGACTGAAATCCCCTTGTACATGTTAACCATGAGCCCCCAACACTTAAATTCCTTGCTAGTCTGGAGGATCTGTAAAACCTCTCTTCAAGAATTGCTATAAAAGCAATAAAAATATCCTGGTTATTAAGTCTCACTCTTTCCTCAACTTAAGTGTTACATGAAAGTGACTAAAAAATATTAGCTTAATTTAAATTACAAAATTGTGATATTCTTCTTTGCTCACTAATCAAAGTCAGACTTTGCTTTCAAGTTTCAGTGGGATGAAACACTATGGCTGGTTAAGTTACTTATCCTTTTTTTTTTTGCTTTTTGGGTCACACCCGGCTATGCACAGAGGTTACTCCTGGCTCTGCACTCAGGAATTACTCCTGGCAGTGCTCAGGGGACCATATGGGATCTGGGACTTGAACCCGGGTCGGCCACATGCAAGGCAAATGCCCTACCTGCTGTGCTATCGCTCCAGCCCCAAGTAGTTATCCTTAAAGCTATGCAGGTCCTTGTCACCAGGAGGGACAGTCTGGCATGCCCGAGACACTGGTTCAATCCCCAGCACTACATGTAGTCCTTGGTCCCCTAAGCACCGCTAAGAGTGACTCCTGAGCTGGAAGCAGCCCCCAAACAGACATACCAGTCCTGACCACCAAACCCAGAGGAGCTACAACTGTTAAACTCTGGACTGATAAAACATGTTAGAATACTACATCTCTGAAGAAGTCAGTTCATAGCGGAAGACACTTAAGTATTTAACTAGTATTACTCTCAAGGTTCTGGGACTGTTTTTGGGCCACACCTGGCAGTCCCTGGGGCTATTCCCAGTGCAGGGCTGCTCCCGGAGATGCACGGGGCACCACGGAGTGCAGAAATTTTGCATGCCATTTCTCTGAGCCACCTTCCCAATCTGATGGCTCTTTCTGGCATGGTGTGTGCTGCAGATGCCGGGAGTGTGTGGAGGACCATGCGTGCTGTGGATCTGTGCTCTAGTCCTATGAATCATCTCTGGTCTCAAGCACACCTTGTGCTCAGGGAGGTGGTGGTGTGTGTGTAAGGTATGCATGTATGTGTGTGTACATGAACTTGTTTGGGACAAACCCCTAGAATACTCAAGAGGCTATTTCTGGTTCTGTGCTGAGGGCCCTGAAATGGGGTTGTCAGGTGTCTCTGGAGATGACAAGGTGTCAGACTTGGCCACATGCAATTTCTCCCTGTAGCAGGTCTCTGGCCCCAAGGTCCTGGGTTTTAAAAAAGATCAGTTAACCACAAGTTTTACACAAAAGAAGAAAAGAGACAGAAAAGATCACTGAGAATAATTCAAGGACAGCAGAATCCAAGTTCAAAGCACATACTGTTTTAGAAAGTTCACTTCCAGATTCCATAATGCGTAAACACAAAGGGATAATTTCGGTTGTCAATAAAAAGTTGATTACTTCCTGCTCATCTGTTTTCACCAGGGCCCCTGCAGAAAACACAAAATGAGTTCAGAGTCAGTTTTCAACCCCCATTCATCAACTAGCTGTGTAGCTTATGTGTCAAAAATCAAACACAGGCTAAGGTCCCCCACCTCCCAGTCCTCCCAAAGAGAGAGGGAAATAAAAGAAAAATAAAGGGTATGAGTTGACCAGTTAGTGAACAGCAAAAGATCAGTCAGATAGCAAGTGTACCAGACTGGCTCTCCCATACAGTGCAGCACAGGAAACACATCAATGCCTTTCCCTACCATTCTCAATAGACGAGAGCACATAACTTCATTGTTGAGATATCTCCAGGCCCATAAAAAGCAATTTACACATTTCCCACTGTCAATGCATATGGAGACATTTAACTAGATGAAGCAGTGGAAAGTAAAGCAGTATTTAATGAGAAAACAGCTCTTGTGTGAAAAAGACAAAAATCAAACATTTCTGTAATAATACACAAACTCGAGATGCGAGGCCTTAAATCTTCATCAACAACACTCAGAATGGTGTTCAGTAAGAGTCACCAGGTTCCTGGTGCCCTGCATTTATCTCAATATAAATAGTTGTGTACAAAAGCTACAAAGAAAGAAAGAAAAGTGTCCAGTCAGATGACAATATGAAGCTTTTAAACAGTTTTGAATACTTACCAATAACTCCAAGACTGGTTAGCCGAAGATACTCGAAAGGACGCGTTTTGCTGACAGTGTGCAAAAAGGGGTACAAAAAAAGTGGAATATGTGCTGCAAGAAATGCTGACCTAAAAGAAAAAAAAAACACTCAGGAGACCATAATTAATTCCTAAGGATTCTGAACACACACATTTACAGAGTATAAATTCCGTAACACCTATACCACATTTTGCCTATGCCAAGACCTATAAGACTGCCACTGTTCCTAAATGGACATCAGTGGTAACCGAGGACTTTGCTATTGATTTTTTGAGTGTTATTTGGGTGGGGCCGGGCTTGGGCCACACCTGTGAGTGTTCTGAGCCCAACTGTGGTGATAGGGACTTGAACCTGGATCTCAGCTAATGCAGCCGTATGCACAGGTACTATCTGTACTACCTCTTCGGATGAGACTTAGCCTTTCAAACTATGGGTCACAATCCCATGTGGGGTATGCAACTTTGTAAAAATGTCTTGAATGAAAAGGGAGCCCAGAGAGACAGTACAGCAGGGAGGGCATTTGCTTTGCACCCAGCCAACCCAGGTTTGATCTCCATCACCCTATATGGAACCCCGAACACACCAGGAATGATCCCTGAGCAGAGTCAGGAGCAAGCCTTGTGCACCACTGGGTGTGGCACAAAAACAAAATAAAAAGCCCTGAAAGAATATATTTATAATTCTGGTTGTTGTTATTATTATTTGGTATTCAAGTCATACCTGGCAGTGATCAGTGATCACTCCTGGAGGTACCTCAGGTGACCAAACATGGTAACAGGGAGTAATCAGGTTGGTCACATGCAAGACGAGAGCCTTTAACCCCTGTACTGTCTCTTTAGTCCCTATTTATGATTTCTTATTAGGAGACTTGTTTTTTTGGTTGCTATAGTTTTTTGGGTCACACTCGGCGGTGCCTAGGGGTTACTCCTGGCTTTGCACTCAGGAATTACTCCTGGCAGTGCTCGGAGACCATATGGGATGCTGGGAATCGAACCCAGGTCAGCCGCGTGCAAGGCCCTACCCACTGTACTATCGATCCAATACCCAGGAGGCTTGTTTTGAGACTTATTTTATATACTGAGAAACTTGGGGTTACGGGTAAAAAGGATCACAAGTGGGAAAAGTCAAAGAAACCCTGGTCCAGGGAACAAATGACAGTGCTTTTTTGGTGGTTACAACTGAACGGATGTACCATGGGCAGAGGCCAGTAATGCGGCTGAACTTTCTACAATGTTTGAGCTGCCTCTACTGGTTTCTCTCCCACCAGAGCTTCCCCAGCCCCTAATGGTAACAGGATCAAACTCAAAAACTATAATGCAGGCTAATGGTTAAGAGAATACAGCGTTTCCCTTGTAATCAGCACAATGTGCCTTAAAAAACACACAAAATATCTAAGAGCGATAGCACAGCGGGTAGGGCGTCTACCTTGCACGCAGACAACATGGCCGACCCGAGCTCGATTCCTCCGCCCCTCTCGGAGAGCCCGGCAAGCTACCGAGAGTATCTCGCCCGCACAGCAGAGCCTGGCAAGCTCCCCGTGACGTATTCGATATGCCAGACACAGTAACAAGAAAATCTCCAATGGAGACGTTACTGGGCCCGCTCGAGCAAATCTAAGAGCAAGTTTTAAAAAATTTGATAACAATATTCATGTACTATCTGACAAAACCTTATAAACCAAACCCAACAGTCATTATCAAGTTTATTTGCCATGCTTTTCTGCACGCTTTTCTGCTAGCGCATACTCCTCCACACTAGCTATTCTAATTAGGGAGTGCTGGGCCAGACCTGGCAAGGGCTCAGGGCTGACTGCTGGCTCTGTGCTCAGAGGACCACATACAAAGCTAGGAATCAAACTGGTGAACTGCATGAAAGGCACATGTCCTAATGCCTTGTACTGTCTCTTCAAACACAGTATTCTTACCTTTCTTTTTCTTTTGGCAGGCCTAGGGATTGAACCAAAAGCTTACACACGCATGCTGTTATCAGTCACATCCTTAGCTCCTTTTCATCTCTCCCTCTCTCCCTTCTCTCTTTCTCTTTCCTCTCTCGCTCTTTCCTTTTTTTGGGTCATCTTGGCAGTGCTTAGAGATTACTCCTGGTCTGCACTCAGGAATTAATCCTGGCAGTGCAGATACCATATGGGATGCCAGGGATCAAACCCAGGTTGGCCACGTGCAAGGCAAGTGCCCTACCCACTGTACTATTGCTCCAGTCCCTCTAGAAATATATATTAATATTATTTTTTTCCTTTTTGGGTCACACCTGGCTTTGCACAAGGATTACTCCTGGCTCATGCACTCAGGAATTACTCCTGGCGGTGCTCAGGGGAGCATATGGGATGCTGGCAATCGAACCCGGGACAGCCACGTGCAAGGCAAATGCCCTACCCACTGTGCTATCGCTCCAGCCCCTCGAAGTATTTTTAAGGGAAGCAGTATAGTGAGGTGGGGGGATAGTACAATGGATAAGGGGTTTGCCTTGCTCACAGCTGACCCAGGTTCGATGCCCAGCATCCCATATGGTCCCCTGAGCACAGAACCAGAACTCGAAGCACAGCTGGATATGGTCCAAACCTCCATCCCTACCCGTTGGGAGCCTGTATTAGTTAAATATTAAGAAAGCTTTTGTCCTGGGGACGTGTTGTCTAAAGGCTGGTTTATCAGAAACCCCTGTCTTGGGGTTACTCATTCTAAGGGTTGGCTTTCTTATTTTTCTAGCAGGTTCTTTCCTCATTCTTATTGAAGAACACATTGCTAAGATGTATCAATATATGTAGCACTGTCCTCCTGTTCATCAATTTGCTCAAGTGGGCACCAGTAATGTCTAATGTGAGACTTGTTGTTACTGTTTTTGGCATATTGAATATACCACGGGGAGCTTGTCAGGCTCTGTCATGCGGGGGATATACTCTCAGTAGCTTGTCGGGCTTTCCGAGAGAGACGGAGGAATCAAACCCGGGTCGGTGGTGTGTAAGGCCCTACCCGCTGTGCTAATGCTTCAGCCCATCAATATACATATAACCAAGAAAAATCCTGGAACTGATTGTAATTATAGAAAAACATCATTGACGTCTAGAAGCCCAGTACATTCTAAATTTATATCCTGAACATTCCTGTAGATTTTTCCAACGTATGCTTCCTTTTAGAGACCTATAGAAGTCCGTTGCTTGTTCAATAAAGACGCTGCATGAGCACTGCTTGTCCAGCCCTCTTTATCCCGTTGCCCTTCTCCCTCCACCTCGGGACCCCGTTTGGCTTAGCCGCGTGGGAAGTAGAACCTGCCTCTGCCACAAGTAAATAAAATTTTAAGAATGTTATGGCCCAAGTTGCTGGAAACACTTCCTTATGAATTTATGACCTGACAGGTATTTTTATTTATTTTTTGCTTTTTGGTTCACACCTGGCAATGTTCAGGGGTCATTCCTGGCTCTGAGCTCAGGAATTACTCCTGGCAGTGCTTGGGGGGATAAGGGGGGGGGGACTATGTGGGATGCTGGGGATCAAACCTGGGTCAGTCGTGTGCAAGACAAACGCCTTACTGTATTATCGATCTGGCCCTGACAGGTGTCTTAAAAACAAAAACAAAAAAAACAACAAAAAAAACCCCCCTAGGGACCATTTAGAAAAAAGAAAAAAAAAAAAAAGAAAAATTCCAAGGCGTGGGGATAGCCCAGCAATATAGCACCTGCCTTCCAAGCATGAAGTCCAGAGTTCGGCCCTCGGCAGTAGCCCAAAGGCCACTCTTCCATCCTGAGCCCATGGCAGCCATGACCATGCTATGGGCAAGACACAACACACTGCATCCAGGAGTCCAATAAATAGCACTTTCCCCACTAAACCTAGACTTGGCCGTAGAATCTTCGGGTTGTTGGGGTTTACTCCTGGTTAAAGGCTCAGAGTTTGTTGCCACTGATGCTTAGGAGAACATATGCAGTACTGAGGAATCAAATCTGGGCTATGCCTTCTATATGCAAAGTATGTGCTAAGTCTGTTGGGCATTGGGCCCCAAGGCTTCAGAACCTTTTATTTATTAGTGAATCACAGTGGGGTACAGTTGCAAACTTACGAACTTTCGTGTTTGCATTACAGTCAAACAATGATCGTCTACCCATCCCTCCACCAGTGCCCAGTCTCCCCTATCAATGTTCCCAGCATCCCTCTCACCGCCCCCCCCCCACCTCAGCGGCAGGGCATTCCCTTTTGTTCTCTATCCTTTTGCAAGTTGTGGTTTGCAATAGTAGTGAGCGGCCATCGTGTTCGGTCTATAGTCTACTTTCGGCACACATCTTTCAACCCGAATGGGTCCTCCCAACATCCTTTACTTTACTTGTTGCCTTTTTCCCCAGCATGTGAGGCCAGATTCCAAGCTGTGGAACAGACTTCCTGATCCTTATCTCTACTACTCTTGGGTGTTAGTCTCCCATTCTGTTACTTTATATTCCACATATGAGTGCAATCTTTCTATGCCTGTCCCTCTCTTTCTGACTCATTTTACTTAACATGATACTTTCCATGTTGATCCACTTAAATGCCAATATCATGACTTCATCTTTTCTAACAGCTGTATAGTATTCCACTGTGTAGATGTACCAAAGTTTCTTTAACCACTCATCTGTTCTTTGGCACTTGGGTTTTCCCCCCAGATTTTGGCTATTATAAACAGTGCAGCAATGAACATATAAGTGCAGATGCCATTTCTACTATTCTTTTTTGCCTCTCCAGGATATATTCCCATGAGTGGTATTGCTGGGTCAAATGGGAGTTCAATTTCTAATTTTTTGGGAATCGTCCGTACTGTTTTCCAAAAGGGCCGAACCAGTTGGCATTCCCACCAGCAGTGAAGAAGAGTCCCTTTCTCCCCACATCTGTACCAACACTGGTTGCTTTTGTTCCTGGGGCTTCAGAAACTCAAGAAAAAGTATTAAAGGGGTCCAGAGAGATCAAACAAACAAATAAACAAAAAAAAAACAGTGATTAAGGAGTGTGCCCTGCACAAGGTCAAATTCGGTTCAATCCCTGGCACCACAGAACTCTCAGAGAGGGGTGCCACTTGGTATGACCAATCCCTCCAGTCCCAATTTTAAGAATTTTTTCGAGGGAAAAAAAAGATAATGTAGGTCAGATAGATCTGTACCTACACTACTGGCTAGCCCTCTTCTATTGTGCAGAGAAAGATTAGGAGCCTATCTCATACAAAGCTCCCCCACACTCACCTGGTTTCTGGGTGGGACGCCACACACTGCAGTAAAGCCAGAGCATTGCAAACTCGGTTAGACTGGTGCGCTGTCAAGGTGGGCGGGTTAATAGATGGATAAATATTTACAATTTCCTGGAAAATAGAAACCATTACCAAGTGAATAAATAACAAAATTAATTTTGGTGGTATGAAAGCAAGAAACTTAAATATCCTCCCCCATTCTAGTAGTGCTCAGGGGTTACTCCTGGCTCTGCACCCAGGTATTACTCATGGCGGGGCTCAGGGGTCCCTATGGGATGCCGGGGATTGAACCCAGTTCGGCAACATGTAAGGCAAGTACCCTACCTGCTGCCCCAAAACTTAAAAATTCTCAATTTCCCATGCAACGTAAGAACTGATATTATTATATACTCGAGGAGCTGAGGTGCCAGATCAGAGACACAGCAAGCCTTGCAGGCTCTTCGCCTGAAGTGTAATCTCAGGAACCGTTAAGTTCTGCCCTTCTCCCAGCAACACCATGTTAGCTCTCAGCCCTCTGGCCCCCTTACTCCTGGCTTTGAACCATCCGGCCTGGCTGGCCAAGTATATTGGGAATGACAGCTCTCGGTACCCCTGGGAACTGCATAGGAGTACCTCCTCTCCACTTTATTCTTTTTCTGTTTCTTTTTGGGCCACACTCAGGTTGGCTCCATGCAAGGCAAATGCCCGACCCATCATACTATCTCTCTGGCGCCACCAATTTATTCTTGAGATTATCCGAGACATCTCTACAATACACATCTCTCTAGAAAGCTGTCTATGGAGACAAAGATACTTCCTCTAACAGCCTGTAGGTGCTGAGACATCCCTTGAAATGTTGACGTTCACAATCCCTCCTCTGTCAACACACTCCTTCAAGCCACAGCGATGAGACAGTACATTAAAAAGAGTCAATCATAGTGCCCCATAAAGAAGCCTAAGTTCAGTCAGATAGCAAATAGAAAAAAAGGAGAACATGGGTACATGTGTCCATTAGAAAAATTAGCTTCCTGGCTACATGCAGGAGGAATAACAATCAAATTTACTTATTATAAAACTATTAGGAGTCTTGGACAATAGTTTCAAGGATGATTTCGATCTTTATTGTCAGTCCTCACCAATGACCATTTTGGTTAGAACCAAAACACAGCAATTTACTCTTTACTTTCAAAGTATATCCACCTTTGACAAAAAACAGCTATCCATATCTTTTTTCATGGACCATACTTGGTATATGTGTTTATATGTATGTTCAGCATATGTTCAGCAGATGCTTTCAGCAAAGGCTGAGGATCAAACCTGGGGATTCCTCATGCAAAGTGTGTACTCTTGCTCTTCTGAGTCTTCTCCTTGGGCCCAGCTATTCATAACTTCACCTTAACATTTTCGTGTCCCCCGCCCCCCCATATCTAAAGATATATAATCACGACGGACAGAACTGAGCTGCCACACACAGGCACAGACTCACCTGCAAAAGAGCTGCGATAGTACCAAATGAATGCCACAGCATGGGGGCAAGGTCAGGGACAGATTCTCGCTTCTTACTGAGCTCCAGCAAAGCATTTTCTCTTGTCTCAGGACTGGACAGCTCGTTGATCCACTGATAGATCTTTTCTCTGTCCACTTGAGCCAGGGCTGTAGGCACAGGCTTCAAGTGAAAAACAAAAAACAAAACAAAAATAAGCAAGCATGTAAGTTTCAGAGTCAAACAAAGGCAGCAGTTTTGGAGGAGAAAATACTTTTCTTAAACACCAAAGGAAATTTACATATGATGTAAACTAACTCAACATCTTCAGAGGTTACTCTTCTCTAAAAGGAAAATGTACAAATGTATACACTTTAGGCTTGCTATTCAAGCCTGTGCAAGTATCTCACTTGCTTATCTTTACTTTGCTTGCCTATTTTCACTCTGGAGAAGCCTGTATTCTCTCTTGAACACATACTTTTACTTCTCCCCTTACATCTTTCTAAATGAGTCTCAATAAAAACTAACATGCTTTACATATCATGAAGAAAATGTATACCCTCTAATAATTCTATGTTTAAGAATTTATCCTAGATCTGCAGAGAAGATATAGGGGTTAAGAAACTTGTCTTGCATATGGTAAACTTTGATTCAATTTCCAGTACCACAACTGGTCGCCCCAGCACTGCCAGTAATAACTCCTGAGCACAGATCTAAGAAGTAAGCCCTGAGCACCACTAGGTGTGACCCAAATACAAATACAAACTTTATCCTATAGGTTTATCAAGGTCATACCAAATACTAGAATGTTTACTATTGTCTGATTTTACTTATTTTTATTATTTTATTCGGTTTGTTTTGAGGCCACACCTAGTGATGCTTAGGATTAACTCTTGGCTCTACACTCTGGATTCACTCATGGTGGGAATAGCGGACAATATGGGATGCCAGGGATTAAACTCAGGTAACACAAGTGCCCTACTTGCTGTACTAACACTTCAGCCCCTATTGTCTGGTTTTAAAATCAGTCCCTTGAGCTAGAGATGTGGCTCAGTGATAGAACACCTGCTTTGCATATACGAGACCAAGCAGCACAAAAAGTAAAAACCCGAAAATTTGATATAACAAATATCTATGAACAAAGTATTAAATAGGTATGATTCTTTATATGGAACACTAGGTTCTTTTTTTCTTTGTCCCCACCCCTAAGTAGCTCTTTTAAATAGTAACTTCATATATACTGACAAATGATATATTTACAAACATTTCTAGAAGGATGCGTTAAAAGTATGTCAATTTGAAGTTGCCTCAGAGCTTGGGATTCACATGGAAAGTTTTAATCATATGTAGATCCTTCCCCCAACCATTCTTTTGGTTCATGCGATGATCAGGGGCCACTCCTGGCAATGGGGTCATGTTGTGCTGGGACTCAAACTCAAGCCTCCTGTGTGCACAGCATGTGTGCAGATCACTGAACCATCTCTCTGGCCCATCTCATGTTCTTAGATATACTCTACTTCAATACTTTGAGAATCATTCATTACCAGCTCATACAATACAATTATGGAACATGCTTTTATTATTGCTCGAGCGGGCCCAGTAACGTCTCCATTGGAGACTTTTGTTGTTACTGTGTCTGGCATATCGAATACTCTCGGTAGCTTGCCGGGCTCTCCGAGAGGGGCGGAGGAATCGAACTCGGGTCGGCCATGTTGGCCGCTTGTAAGGCGAACGCCCTACCCGCTATTATACTTTAAAAATAAATTATAATTTCTGGGGTTGGAGCAACAGAACAGTTGGTAGGGAGCTTGACTTGCAAGCGATTGAGCCAAGTTTGACCCCCAGCACACCATATGGTTCCCTGAGCCCTACCAGGAGTGACCCCAAAGTACAAAGCCAAGAGCAAACCCTGAATACCTCCAGGTGTGGTCTCAAAACAACAAAATCACAATTTCTACCAAATTTTGAGCACATATTTCTTCACACTTAAACTGCTTTGTGATCTTGCTTAAATTTAAATAATTATTCTTAGCTGGAAAATAAGGTAGCAAGACTAGAAAAACGATGGCCATGGCAATTTCCACTCTAAAATCCTAACAGAATCATGGTGATTTCTATCCTTATGCCCAATATTTTTTCTGCTTAATTCCTCTAAACCATAAAAAAATTAGAGGGCAGGCAGACAAAAACATATTTACACTAACAGATCGGTCATCAATACTTGGTGGAATTAAGTTGAGTTCTCTCTTGCTCTTTCTTTCTCTATATATACATATATAATAAAATTCAGAGCTGAATTTGTTTCTGGAAGTACGCACAATGTCCCTACTACACTTTAGTGCAACAGAATGACGACCAACCCTTTGTACAGATGAAATGATGAGGAACAAAAGAAAACTGCCTTTGTTGAGAACGAAGTCTAAGATAGACTCAGGTATGCTCACATTTATTCTAGCCAAGCTTAGCAGTTTTCTAAAAACAGAAACTTGATTCTAGGCTTTTAGCTGGATGCTTATCAATTCACTGCTTCACAGATGAACCACAAGTTGTTCTGCTAAATGGATTGAAATACCATGAAGCTTAAGTCTTCTCTAAGTGCTGCAGAATAACCTGCTAAAAGTTATCTTATGACTCCCATTAGTGATGAATCTCAAAAACCAAGAGCACTAAAGCAACAGTACAGCATTGGAGGAAGATGATAAATTTCCCCTGCAACCTCCTTTCTAGAAGAAACTGGACTGTCCAGTTTGCCCTACCCATGCTGTTGTAAACAGGCCTCACCTCAAAATAAACAAAACAAATAAAAGTAAAGGTTCAGGGACTAGATCGATAGCATAGTGGGTGGGGCATTTGCCTTGCACACAGCTGACTCGGGTTCGATTCCCAGCATCCCATATGATCCCCCGAGCACTGTCAGGAGTAATTCCTGAGTGCATGAGGCAGGAATAACCCCAGTGCATCGCTGGGTGTGACCCCCCGCCCCTCCCCCCAAAAAAAGCAAAGGTTCAGGGGCTGGAGTGATAGCACAGCGGGTAGGGCGTTTGCCTTGCACGCAGCCAACCCGGGTTCAATTCCCAGCATCCCATATGGTCCCCTGAGCACCGCCAGGAGTAATTCCTGAGTGCAGAGCCAGGAGTAACCCCTGTGCATTTCCAGGTGTGACCCCCCCCCAAAAAAAGTAAAGGTTCAATGGAGGGTCTGGAATGATAGCCCCACCAGAAGACATAGTGTGTCTATTCAGAGCATCACATTCCCTTAAAAAACTCAATGGAAGAGTAGGAGGGATAGTACAGTGTATAGGGCATTTGTCTTGCATGCAGCTGACCTGAATTTAATCCCTTGCACCTCACACAGTCCCCTGAGCCCTACCAGATGTAGCCCAAACCCCTGCCCCCCCCCTGCCCCCAAACTCAAGAGGGGGAAAAAAAAGGTTAAAATTTTTATCTTTGAGTCTCCTACAGTTTCCCTCCCTCCCTCCCTTCCTTTTTTGGGTCACACCCAGTGATGCTCAGGGGTTACTCGTGGCTCTGCTCAGGGGACCATACGGGATGCTGGGAATAGAACCCGGGTTGGCTGCATGCAAGGCAAACGCCCTACCCGCTGTGCTATCGCTCCAGCCTCTCCTACAGTTTCTTGAAAGAGTTACAATCCCACAGCTAAAGCAGGGACTGGGGGATGGATTACACATACACATAGACATCACTCTGATTCATCTTTACTCATTCTAGTTAAGGTACTAAACTGCTGTCACCTCATCAGTAAATGCTAACATCCAGGGACTGGAGCAATAGTACAGCAGGTAGGGCGTTTGCCTTGCACACAGCCAATATGGCCGACCTGGGTTCGATTCCCAGCATCTCATATGGTCCCCCAAGCACCGGCAGGAGTAATTTCTGAGTGCAGAACCAGGAATAACCCCTGAGCATTGCTGGGTGTGACCCCCCCCCCCCAAAAAAAGCTAACATCCCATCAGAGCCAGGCTGGAGCTCACATAAAGCACCTCTATACTGTGCCCTGCTCTGGTGGCTACTAACAGAACATCGTAGCTTCTGGCCCCTCAATTTCTATTTCCAGGATGGGCATGATACCCCTGGAGTGCTCCTAACAACTGTTGACTTGACTTGGGTTCCTAAGATCATGGCCACCTCAGGTCAGCAGTAAGTTAACTTCTGAGGCTGCCTGTGAGCTGCTGACTTCATGTGACTTTGGTTCTGAGTCTGAGATCTCAGGGGGATGGCAAAGTGGCCCTCTCAGCTTGGTGCTACAGACTCTGTACCTCCAGGGCAAAGGGCTGGAAAATATCCAGGGCAGGAGCCTTCTTTTTCATTATTTTAACTAATCTTACCTCCACCTTAGCAGCTAGAATTGGTTTCAGTAACACACTAAATACCAAACTGCTGTGGGTTTAAACCATTTTCAAAAATAAAAATGTCAGCTAACATTGATCACTGATATTCTCCTGCCAGCTGGAGCGATAGCACAGTGAGTAGGGCGTTTGCCTTGCATGTGGCTGACCTGGCCAACCCCAGTTCGATTCCTCCGCCCCTCTCGGAGAGCCTGGCAAGCTACTGAGAGTATCTCGCCCGCACAGCAGAGCCTGGCAAGCTACCCGAGATGTATTCGATATGCCAAACACAGTAACAACAAAGTCTCCAATGGAGACGTTACTGGGCCTGCTGAGCAAATCGATGAACAACAGGACAGTGCCATTCTTCTGCCAGGTCATTTAGGCACACTTATCACAAAAATATTAAATCTGAAATCGGTGTGTTCCTAAAAAAATGGGAAGTAACAGAGATAGACAGTAGATGAAGGAAGACAAGGAACATACAAACAAAAACAAAAACAGGAGGAGTGGCGGGCGAGCTAGTTGTTTATGGATTAAGGCGCTTGCTTCCCCAGCCCCCCCCCCCCCCAACCCATTTTGAATCCCCAGCACCACATAGAGTTTCTGAGCTAGGAATAGCTACCAAGCACTAATGGGTAGCCCCAACCAAAACAAACAAAACCCTCCCACAACTCCATCTAATGATCACAACACCCGGCTTTTCTTTTGGGGGGGGGCAGGGGGATTGGAGGGGGCCCACCTGGAGGTGCTCAGGGGTTACTCCTGGCTCTGCACTCACTCAGAAATCACTCCTGGTGGTACTCAGGGTACAGGATGGGATGCCGCGGATCCAACC